AAAGGCATATCACACACATTTGGATACAAACTGATTCAATGATGCTCAAAAATGTAATTGAAGGGATATGAAAACCACCCTGGAGGATTGTTGAATATGTGGAGGAAATATGGAAATTAATGGAGGTATGTGAGGCTAAGGTGTCACATATTTATTGTGAAGGCAATAAGATGGCAGACTACCTAGCTAATTACGCACTTGATCACGGCAATATTGAAGCTGAATGCTTTGCACAATTGGATGTACAAGGAAGGAGGATAGTGAATGATGATAAGCTCCAATGTCCATATTTAAGGGTGAAAGTTGCAAAGAATTAAGGAGTAAGGAGGAAAGGTGGAGTAGAGAACTGGAGAATTCATTAGATCATCATGTACAAATCCTTTGGGAGGAGTACATGGTGATAATTTTTTCTACTAACCTTGTGTTCTTTGCAGGAGACGTTATTGTATTCATGCCTTTCCATTTATTACGACTTCTATGGGTGGTATTAGCACTACGTGATTCCCTTGAAAGAGGAAAGATGGCATGCACAAGCATGGAATTATGGAGGCACATGAACATTCCTAGCATGCAACAAGTTTGGCAAAGTGACATATTGTCACAGGCTTGGGTGTTTGTGGCGCAACAACAAAGGCGAGCAACACTAGCAAGCCTAGCAAGCTTCCCAGCACGCCTAGCGCGACCAGTAACAAGCTCATCCACCATGCGATGCCAAGGAATTCGCCAGCTCCACCTCGCTAGAGACTTGGCGACGCACAGGGTTCTCCATTGTTGTAGACCTCGCCTAGCTGCTCCACAAGCGAGATAATTAACCAGGCGAAGCAAGAGTAGACGCCAGCTCCTTCACGCTGGAGACCTGGCGAGGCACGTAGCCAGTCTTGCACTGAACCTGGCGATGCACAGTCTATGGCCTGCTCTTTCGCGCCATATATCTCGCCCAACTAGACTAGGAGCGAGATCAGTACCATGGCGATGCGAGGTACAACGGCCACTTCATCTCGCTAGGGACCTGGCGATGCGAGATCTGTGGCACAGTATACCTGAGCAACAATGGACAACACCTCATTATGGCTATTTTGGTAGCTCATATCGGGCAATTGGGATACAAAGTGGGTTAAAATATTCACAAGGAAAGCTAGTTGGATAGTTCAAGAACAACTTCATGCAAAGGCTTCAAGAGATAATCAAAGGAATGCACGTGAAAATGAACGCAAAAATAGTGCACTCGTACTAGTTTGGTCACTGTACTTTGTCTAGATTTTGCGTGACTCATATTTCAACATACATGTTAACTACTGGGTGGGCATTTGGTGGAATTTATTGGCACAAGCACAAGGAAGGGTGTATCATAACACCATATTTTGGACAGTGGCTATACTTTGGCAAAGGCGATATGGCTATTCTTGCAACAAGCGGACCTGAAAAGTGATATTTAATGAATATGGCTATTTCTGCAAAGATTCACATGGACATCAAGTGCAGCGGGCCTCAAGGGCTAGTTCATAAATATAAAAGGAATTTTTACATTCCTATGTCATATAGGAAACTATATTACCCTCAATGTTTAAGGTTTGATATAATTACATTTAGTATACCTAATTACCAATTATATACCATTAGTGGTTTTTAAGGGTATTAATTACACTCCTAATTTAATGGTACCTCTACGTTTCTCTCTCCAATTCCCACACCTTCACCCACTTTTCCCTCCCACACCCACGATTTCTGTATCAAAATCCCATTATTTCTTCCATAGCCAAGGCTTTGAATTCGAATTTGGGTTTTCAAAAGACATTGTTTGTTTGGATTGGATGTTGTTGCAAAGATTTGAGAATTCTCTCTACGTCTCTCTCTATTTCGCAATCCCAAATTTCAGTAATATAAGAGGAAAGGAAAAGAGAACAGCAATTCCACCATTGACAGCCATTACAAAACTTTGAAGCTATGAATTCTAATTTGGGTTTTCAAAAATTATTATTTGTTTGGATTGGGTGTTGTTGTAAATAATTGGGAATATGGTTTGGAGTTTATATCTCAATTTTGAGGGGTTTTGGTGAAGATTAGACTTGGTTTTGGCTGAATTTCAGATTGAAACTCGAAGAAGAAGAAGAAGAAGACATGACATACATTATATTTGCAGAAATTATAGATAAATTGTAGACTGTTGTTTATTTATTTTTCAGCTTTGTATTTTTGTGTTAAAAGTTTTGATGGGAGTTTGTTATTCCACTTCGTCTGTTTTGGAGCTAACTTGTGCAGAGGAGAAGATGTTTTTTAAGTTATATATATTGCTATACCTTTAAATTCAAGAAGTATGGTTGTATTGTATTTAAAGAGGCGTGAATTTCTAGAATAGGTTGAATGTGAGGAATGAGTCAAATAAGACTCACAATGACTTGTTTTCTACATTTAATCTACAACAAAACTACATATCATTTGAAAAATTAATATGAAAATACAGAATTTCAATTTTTTATACAAATTATCTACAAAATATCTACAAACTGGGTACATTAAATTTTAATATCCCAATTCCCATTCAATTGTAGCATAATTGAGATTTTTAACATAATTGCGTTTTTTGCAGAAGATTTGTAGAAGTTTTAGTCGTTTTTGATTTGTGAAAACAGAAAACAAAGCATCTACAATCAGAATACAAATAATCAATAATTTATCTATAAAATATCTACAAACTAGGTACATTGAATTTCAATATCCCAATTCCCATTCAATTGTAGCATAATTGGGATTTTTGACATAATTGCGTTTTTTCAGAAGATTTGTAGAAGTTTTAGTCGTTTTTATTTGTGAAAACAGAAAATAAAGCATCTACAATCAGAATACAAATAATCTACAATTTATCTACAAAATATCTACAAACTGGGTACATATTTGGACTCGACATGCTTCCCCTGAAATGTATGTTTCACATTTTTGATACATATTTTTGTCCAAAATAGTACTAAATCATCCACTTAAGTACAATTTTTATACAATGTTGTTCAACTTTCATACAATAGGTAAATGAATAAAAGAAAAATAAATAAATAACAGTCTATAATTTTTCTACAATTTTTCTACAATTTTTCTACAATTTCTGCAATATAATGTATGTCATGTCTTCTTCTTCTTCTTCGAATTTCAATCCGAAATTCAGCCAAAACCAAGTCTAATCTTTACCAAAACCCCTCAAAATTGAGATATAAACTCCAGACCATATTCCCAATTATTTGCAACAACACCCAATCCAAAAAAATAATGATTTTTGAAAACTCAAATTCAATTCAAAGCTTCAAAGCATTTTAATGGCTGTCAATGGTGAAATTGCTACTCTATTTTCCTTTGCTTTGTATTACTGAAATTTGGATATAATTGCATTTGATGTAGAAGAATTATAGAAGATTTAGTCGTTTTTTATTTGTAAAATCAGAAAAAAGGTTTGAAACACAGTGTATCGAAAAGCAGAGACGGTAAATTTGAAACGAAACTGACGAAGAAGATTAATGTGCGTGATTTGCGTAGTGGAAGATCTGGAAGAATATTTAATTTCCCTTTTTTACCGCGCCTAAATAAGGAATCATAAAGCTATAGTGATTCCTTATTTAATGCATTGTATATATTATGTAGAAATACTATTAGCATGAATGGTAATATGCAAACTATGAACATATTTGGTAATATAGTTTCATATATGGTATATATACGAAAATTTCCCAATATAAAATCTACATTAGTTCTTATGTGCTATCATTGTTGAGTATTTCACGCAACTTTGATAATAGGCTACATGTAGTTTACAAATTTTATCTCTTTCATTTCTTAGGATTTTATGACACTTGGTTTTTAATCTCATTATATATATAAAACTAGCCACTGCCTACTGGATTGCTTTAAAAAAAATGGGTCGAATAATTTATTCATTTTTTAAATTACCCGTTTCGACCCGCTCATATCCGACCCGACCCGCCCGTTTGCCACCCCTATATGCAGTCTTATCCTGCATTTCTGCAAGAGGCTGTTTTCACGGCTCAAAGCCGTGACCTCCTGGTCACATGACAGTTACTTTACTAGTTACACTAAGATTCCTCTTCTATATAACAATCTCAGCATAATTTATGTATTATAACTTGTCTTCGTTAGTTGGACTTAGTATATAGAGTTAAAATTTACCTTAATAGTAAGAAACTGATTTTCACTCATAATTGGGGGGGGGGGGGGGTTTCTTTACCAAGATTTAATAAAACATTTATTAAATCTTGCAACATTTGCCCAAAGATTTATATACAAATAATTTTGTGGAATCGTTATTCAACACGCATCATTCAATCGACAGCTGTTAGAAGACAAGACACTAATACCAATATATGAGTTTGCTCTTCAGATTGATAGTAGCACTACATATTTTGGACTTAAAGGCAAGAAAACAGACAAGTGCAATAATTGAAGGAATCTGCTAAAGGTCAACTGTGGGTCTACCAATTTTCTCAATTTTAGAATTTGAAATTGACCCTTTTCCTCATGCTGCTGTCCCCTTGTGAATTGTGTTCTTTCTATTCACAAATAATTTAATCCACCCAAAATAAAAGCCTTGGGAATTGAGCCCTCTGGTTAGATAAAATACTACTCCGTCTATTTCAATTTAGATGAGGTAGTTTGACTCGTCACGGAGTTTAAAAAATTTTTTTTTTTGAAACTTATAATCTTTGTGTGGTTATAAAAGCTTAACATTAAGGGTAAAATGGATAATAAGCTCTAGGCATGTCAACCGTATTCCATTCGTCCAATTTATGTGACACTTTTCTTTTTAATCAAGTCTAAAAATGACTCATTTATATATTTAGTACAATTCAACTTTAAAATTTTCATTTGACTCTTAATGAGATAATATTTAGCCACATAAATTTTTATGGTTTATTTTAGACCAAGTTTCAAAAAAATTCTTTTTTTTTCTTAAATTTCGTGCCCAATTAAACACTTCACATAGATTGGGACGAAGGGAGTAATAAATATTAAAACTTTTGACTACCTTCATAGTTCACAAAACATAGTACTACATCTTATAATACATGGAAATTAATACAAGCTGAGTATTGATTTTTCACGTTTAAGAGATTAACAAAGTTCCTTTAGTAGTCTAATTTATAGTTACAAACTATAGAGAATACTAATTATCCTTTAACAAAAGTTCTTTAATTCAAGGCTTTGGTTTGTGTTGAGTATAAATGTAATCCAAATGAGCCTCAGCAACCATTCTTCTCTTGAAACAACCTTCATCTTTTTCTTCACATTCTTCTATCCCCATGAGCTGTTGAAAAATATACACAAAAAAGGAAAAATAATCAAAAATAAAATAAGAAAAAAAAAGGAGTATTCAATACAAGCTAGAATTATGTAAATTTGAAGTTTCATATACAGCAACAAAAATTACGCCTCAGTTTCAAGCAAATTAAGATTTACTATATAAATTCTCATTGACCATGTCGGCAGCGACAAAATTAACGGTTACGTTGTAGGTTTGGTCGAACCCAATAATTTTGGTCCAAACTTTATATTTGTCTTAATTTTTTCTTCAAATATATACAAAGTTTAATTTAGAACCTAGTAACTTAAAAATACTAGTAGAATCTTGAACTCATAAACTTTAAATCCTGACTCTGCCTCTACATGTCGGACTATTTCAGCTCATCATATTACTGAAAAAGAAAAAGAAAGAAAAAGAAAAAAAACTTACATCGGTGAAGTCTTCAACTTCTGAGGAAATTGGATAGCTAATTCCATTAGATTCAATCTTCTGATTATCTGTGGAAAGTAATTAATTACTAATTAAAATTCATTTTAGGAAGCTCCATGCCTAGAGCTTTGCATGTCAAAAAATACTAGAAACTATTTACAAGGTAAAAAATGAAAAATAAAAAAACATTCCATACCTTGAGAATTTGTAGGTAGAAGACGAGCTGATGTTGTGTAGGAAATAAGCAATACCAGAAGAGTAAGAAGAAATAGAATATTTCTTTGTTCCATTTGCCTTTGGTTGGTTTTGATTTAATTTCTTCTTTTATTGTGTCTATATATCTTGTGAGAGAAGAGAGAGAGAGAGAGAGGAGGGGATAGAAGAATAGAGCTGGTGGGAGTTGTATAAATAGCAAGAATTTGGAGTGTCAATAAAGCACGAGTGGTTCTGTTCGTTAAATCAGGTAATTTGCCGATGAATAAGCGAGAATGACTCTCAAGAATGGTTTTAATGTGTTCAAGAATCTACATGTAGCACTCAGGTGTTTTAAGGTGGTGTATGTGACTAAAGACAGTGTTTTCAATAGAAAATGTCAAGACTTGTGGTATTTTTATGTTGATCATGGGATCCTATGTGTCG